TTGCAGTGTAGTGTAATGTTCTTAGAAGTGTTGAGTCACTTGAACTAGTAGATACATTACAACTTAATCTACGGAAGGACTAGACAAGCACGACATCTGTCACCACTTGGTGATCAATCAAATATTTACTATATCAGGTTAGTGGATTGAATATTGACTTGAAATAAACACAACCATGAACAAAATTGCGTGTTATTTCTTCAAAAGACTGTTTATCTCTCACTGTTTTCCATACTCGTTTGCAAGCCTGCTTGATGTATTAATAGAATCGGAGCACATCTTTTCTTGTGAACGTTATACTACTCGTTGATAATGAGTAGTTCAACTGTGTTCACAAGTATGCAAGGTTTGTGCACTATGGTTAGTGAGGTTTTTGTTGCACGAAATCACATATCATGTTTATTTATTTTGGTATTCTGTTGCCTTGAGTTGTTTAATTATCTTTCATAGTGTTTGTATCCCCTTTTATATTTTGGTATTTATTATGCTTCCCATCCTATGAAACTATTTATCATTTTTAACACTGTGTCTATTTTCGAAACAAAACTTGATTTATTTCCATCAATTCTTGAGATTTCTGTTAGACATTGGGTTATTCTTCTGATTTGAATTCTTTGACTGATGATAAATCCATGAGATTATTGATATCTTAAATGATGATAATACTTTAGTCCTGAAAAATTCATGAATGTTACTATAGACTATCTTTTTATTTTAATTGTAACGAATAAATTCTAGTAAAACAGAGCATCAAGAAATCTGATAAATAAAACAAGTCTTTTAGAATTATTTTGTCTATAAATTTAACTGGGAATATCTGTTTTTATAAAGGATATATGGATAATATTATAGCAATATGTGGCGAGATTGAAGATGATACATGTTTAATGGAAGTGAGGAACATGGTACACAAACTAACGTTCTTGTGAAAATGGAAAAAACGTCCGCTATCTTTCTTGGACATACTCATTATTTCAAGGGTGAACGGATCAGTCAGTCGTAAGTAGATAAACACTTCAATTAGTTCAAATATGTTTCACTATTCTGCTTATCAGTAATGAGTGGTAATTAGGAAGTGTCTGTAATGGACAAGAACAATAATCAAACTGCTCGAGAATATTCTTATTCCCAGACCCATTTTAAGACTGTCGATAAATTAGTAATTTGCACTGGATTGATAAGGATTTGAAGAGTAGAATTTCAGAGTGAGGAGTAGAGAACGAAACCCACATCACAAATAATTTTGGAAAAGTGTGAGCATTATTAACATTTTACTGGGATGCATACTCATTTCATCTGATGATAGAAAATTCAGAAGAATGAATGAATGAGGTTATAAATCGTTATTGGCTAAAGTGATCGGGATACGTTAGGTATGCCGAACAATCGCATAACTTAATAGGTAATGTTTGCTGGTGTAGGAATAAAACGGAAGAAAGTTAGGTCTCCTCAAACCCAAATGTGGCATCAATTTATAGATACATTGACTGGTGGTTTGATCCATGTTGGGAAGTGTATTTAATCCGGTTGAGGCCAGAGTAATTACTAAGATCAGCGGTTGGAGATATGGCTCAGAATCGGTCACAATTGGGTAGACATATTCACTCTTCATCTTACTCTAGTTCTTGAGCTGTACCATTCCTTTTTATATATACTTTTTCATCCTGTATTTTCGGACCATATCTTCAATGTCTAACCTTTATCATTATCATTATATTATTTCGATTCCTTTGCTTTCAGTTTGTTCATTTCATCTTATCGTACTAACATCAGTCGGTTATACACATCAATTCCACCTGCAGCTCTTCTAGGGTTACTGCTTGGCCCAAGCCCGGGTAAAGAAGGAGAGTTGGGCATAGGGTCAAAAACCCCATCCCGTAGAAAACAACCTTGCTAAAAAAACGCTAAGTAATACGCAAAACAGGACCTTGGATATTGCTCATCGGTTCAATATTACCAATATCAACAGAGTGAGATGGTAGAGTGGTGTAAATAGTAATATTGGTGGCAGTAGAAAAGATTGGCCATAGAACAAAGTCGGAAGCAAAATATGGATTACAGAAATAAAGACGTTTAGGAGGTAATCAGAAACTTAAGATTTAAAGGAACACAAAGAATGAATGCACCGATACCACTGCTACCGATTGTGAGCCATGCCATCCAGTCTTTGAACATTGACTGTGACAATCATGAGGACCTCACCCAAGAATTTTGCATCTACTTATATGACTGAGTCCAACAGTTGGTGACTCCACAGACGTTTAGGTTTGGTCAGCACTAGCTCTCTTCCGACTTGTTTTTACACACACAAACATTGACTATCGAGGCAGTTGATGGTTCATTATGCGTGACACATCTCAATCACGATAGTCGATGAAGATTCACTACCTTATCAACCGAGTTACCATTTTTACCTAGTACTCTGAGTTTAACCTCAGCATTGCTCACCTGGTGATGCCTACATACACTAGCAATACTTACAAGGCATCTACGATCAAATACTAGTAACCTATGAATATCCTTGATTTTTAAAAACCAAGGTTCATAGCCATCAATCAAGACAGGAAACTATTGTGCAGTATACCCGTTTTCTGGTTGGCAGACGAACATCTCGCATACGCCACAACCGATGAAAGTTGGTAAAAGTCAACCGAGTTTTTGTCATAAACCGACCCACTGTAGCTGACCATAGCTCTAAGATAAGCGAAGTGTCTAACAAGCTCAACCACTTCACTTACTATAATCAATTTAGAGGTTGATGCGTACCAGCCCTGAAGGTGTGCTTTTCCTTTAGAGGGAGGAAAAGGCATTCTAAACGTGTTTGTATTGTTAGAGGACTTTTCATTTGGTCAGGGTCTTCACAACAATAGGACAGTAACGTTTGCGTATTTTGAGTCAAGTGAACCTGCCGTTAGATTAACCCCCTTAGAATGTTATCTTTAAAAGAATGTCAATGAAAAAGTTGAGTAAAAATGGAGAAAGTGGTCAACCCTGACGAACACTAACTCCAGCAACGATTTGCTGTCATGTGATTCTAAGGGTAGTAGTGTTCGAGTAGAGCATGTACAACCTAATGTACTTCTTAGGTATGCCTTCAATGATAGATACTGCCATTAAATCCGGCCGATCTACGAAATCAGATGCGACCTTAGGATCAAGAAATACAACTATAGTTAGGAGTCTGGAGGTATGCTTGTTTCAGAACCTGACGAATATCTAGTCTATACATTCACGTCCAGGACTGAAACCAGCCTAGTTTTTACGAGTTTATCCTTAAGAAGCCTTAGCCAAGATTTGAATGGTTATCCAGCCTAATATTTTAGATACTACTTTAGCCAAACGAATTATTCTGTGGTTGTCACGAGGATTTTTTCCTTTCTTATATGCTAGAACGATCAGCGATCGTGACCAGTTAGGTAGTGTATTACGTTCAATTCTCAGACTCGGGTTAGTATATCAGCCAACCTAACAGATACAAGTGGACCAACCAATCAGGGACTAATATCTTCTCTTGCTTTAGATTAGTTATAGCTTCCCCAACTTCCTTAAGAGATCGGGAGTTTATGTTGTCAGTCAGTCAGCTACAACGTAAGACCAGGCACATATATGCACCGTTCCAAGTTGCCATACCTCATTAGCACAACAAGATGAATACCAAATTCATAGAAGCAGTTACTTCAGCGGTAGTAATATATAGAAGATCGAGTATAAAAATATGATACAGGGAGAAAGAATTTTTTTCGTAGGAAGGGAAGTATACAGTAATTTTAGTCTTACGGTTTAAGGGAGGACAAAGAGCGTATACACCTATGCCACTGCGATTGACTTTAAGCCATGTCACTCAGTCCCCGACCACTGGTTACGATAGCTGCGCGGACCCCAACCTAGTAGTCTGCATCTACCAACATGGCTGGGACCAGAAATTAGTGACTTTGTGGACTAGTGCCACGTTTTGGTTTGGCTTCCCCCAACAGTAGTCAGCATTGCGCACCGTCGTAGTTGGCGGTTGGGCGTGAGTAATACGTGGCCCAACCATCTCAGTTGATGAAGATTTATATTGACATCCCATTAGGGTAGCTTGGTAACAATATATAACATAAGTGATTCGAGACCAGTTAAACTGTGCTTTAAAGTGTTGCACACAGCTTTTCAATCTCCTAGGCTAAGACTGGGTCATGATCCCACTTTTTTGATAGTCTTACTAAAACCCAAGTCTTTAATACCTGCGTTTTTATAAATTTGGAAAGCTGTCCATTATTACCTAGTACCACAGTCGTTTCCATCTCTTTTGCTTCAGCCGCATATCATTGTACATGTTTTTTGTCAGTTTACGTCCACATCGCCTTTGCTCTTGATCGTGTTTCGACTCTGATGGGATGAGTTTTCGATAATCTAGAAATTCAGTAACTGCGACCGAAATCCACCGATTCTTCTTAACCTTTTGGTAGATATCATTGCTGTTTGGATATCACACCAATACATATCGAAGTGAACATCACATTTTGACGATTGACTAACTGCTTCTCTAGTTATTCCTGAAATATAGGATATGATTTTTTCGTGTGTATTGTCAAACAGATTTTGAGGGCATCTGTGCCATATGTTTCACTTTGTGAGTCAACTTAGTGCCTATTAATAATAAACGGTTTCCTAAGCATAGTAAGAGTAGACGATTGCCGTTGTCTGTTCGCCGAGTTGGGACACAGGAAGACTTACCTAAGTGTCTTTGACTTTGGTTTAGACTACCTACTCAGACATTAAAACCCCCTGCTACAATTACGTCTGAGGATTGGGCATTTTTCAGGATAACATAATTTTTTTTAAAAATTCGTCCTTTACTTCCACTAAACTGTAGAGATTAGAAGTGTGAGCAGAGCCGAAGATTGTGGTGTGGTAACTTGGGCCAACATACAGTTATGTCACGCTATACGTTGATTACGATTGGTAGACTGTAGGGTTCACATTTATCATTTATGCTCAAAAATTGAGAAATGTATTAATTTCAGAATGTTACAAATATATTTACTTCAAAAGAAGCGATTCAAATATGCATACGTTTTATTCATAGTCTAGTTATCATGGAAATGAAAAAAAATTAATGAAAGATAGCAATATATATGCCGTTTCTCATCAATTATTTTTTCATGCAGTTTAATTTTACATATAGAAATATGAGAACGGATTTAGGACGATTCAATATGCCACTGCTTGATCCATTCACAGATTTGAAAAATATTTTTTTCTAAGTCTTCAGGAGTATTATTAATTAGTTCATGTACTTTGTCTGTACTATACGATTCACGAGCCTCGTCCAGAATAACCTGAAATATATATATATATATATATATATATAGAGAGAGAGAGAGAGAGAGAGAGAAGGATAATAAAAATCGAAAGGAATATATGGTAGCAGTCATATAAAAATGGGAAAAACTTATTTATATCAATATTCAGTCAGTCAGTCAGTAACAACGTAGAACTTCGTATGTACGTACATCAGTTCGAGTTGCCATACCACACTAGCACAGAGATGCAGTTGTCGATTCAAATCCCGTAGTGGTAGAGGTAGCAAGATTATAAGCAGTAATCGGAAACATTAGTGTTTGGAGATGTTATTTAAAGAGTATAATCCAGTGAAATAGATTTGGAAAGAGGAAAAAAGGGACATGAAGAATTTGGGAGAACACAAAGAGTGGATGCACCTGCGCCATTGCAAACGATTTTGAGCCATGTCATTCAGGGTTTCTAACCATCGGTTGCTACCATCTAGTGGTCCCCAACCAGGTAGTCTACACCTACCAACATGACTCAGTCCACTTGTCAGTGACTTCATGGACTTGTGCCATGTTTTGGTCTGGTCGCCCCTAGGTTTCTTCCAACCTACTCCTATACCACTGAACATAGCACGTCGGGGCAGTCAGCGGTTGGGCATATGTAACATGTCCCAGCCATCTTACTCGATGGTCCCAGGATATACGAGCAATATTTCGAAGACACCTATGATCAAATACCGACTACCTCGACGTGCTATGTTCAGTGGTATAGGAGTGAGTTGGAAGAAAGCTAGGGGCGGCCAGACCAAAACATGGCACAAGTCTATGAAGTCACTGACAAGTGGACTGAGTCATGTTGGTAAGTGTAGACTACCTGGTTGCGGACCACTAGATGGTAGCAACCGATGGTTAGAAACCCTGAATGACATGGCTCAAAATCGTTTGCAATGGCGCAGGTGCATCCACTCTCTGTGTTCTCCCAAATTCTTCATGTCCCTTTTTTCCTCTTTCCAAATGTATTTCACTGGATTATACTCTTTAAATAACATCTCCAAACACTAATGTTTCCGATTACTGCTTATAATCTTGCTACCTCTACCACTACGGGATTTGAATCGACAACTGCATCTCTGTGCTAGTGTGGTATGGCAACTCGAACTGATGTACGTACATACGAAGTTCTACGTTGTTACTGACTGACTGACTAAAATACTAGTAACCTACGAATATCCTCTACTCTTACCGGCCATCTTTCACTGCCATAAAGTAGGACGGAACGAACTGATGCGCAGTAAGCACGTCCTTTGGTTGATAGACGGATATCTCGCCTACGCCATAAATGACGCAAGTTGGTAAAAGCTAGTCGAGCCTTCTGTATCCGTGCTGAGATTTCGTCACACACCAGACTACAAGGGCTGATGAGACTTCCAAGTAAAGTGAAGCGATCGACACGCTCAATTACTTCACTCCCTATCATTAGTTCGGGTGTCAATGCAACCCAATCCTGAAGCAACATTTAACATTTCGAGGGGGAGAATCGCATCCCGAACATGCTTGCATTGTTGCTTAGAGTGGTCAGAAGACTCTGCATTTTGTCAGCGTCTTCACGAAATAAAACTATGTCGTCGGCATATTCTAAGTCAACAAGTGAACCTCCCGGTACAAGTTCAACCCCTGGAAATCTAGACGAGTAAAGTGTTATCTCTAAAAGTACGTCGACGACAAAGTTAAACAAGAATGGAGAGAGTGGACAGCCCTGACGAACACCACTTGAGGTAATCAATTCTGATGATAGTTCGCCATAAGCTCTCACTCTACCAGTTGTGTTCGAGTAGAGAGCGTTTACAAGATTAATGTACTTCTTTGGTACTCCTTTCAGTGACAAACACTGCCATAGAACCTCACGATCAACAGAGTCGAATGCTGCTTTAAGGTCAAGAAATACTACCATTGTGGGGCGTCTGAATGTGTGTCTGTGTTCTAGAACCTGACGTAGTGTGAATATGTGGTCTATACAACCACGTCCAGGTTGAAAACCAGCCTGATTTTCTCTAGTCTGCTCTTCACGAGCTTTAGATAGGCGTCGAAGTATTATTGAAGCTAATATTTTAGACACACTGATTCCTCTGTGATTGTCACAGGAGGACTTTTGTCCTTTCTTATAGACTGGCACAATCAGTGATTGAGACCAGTCAGATGGGATTACGTCCAGTTCCCAAATTCTACCTAAGACCTCAGTTAATCTCATTGCTAATACTGGACCACCATCCTTAAAAATCTCAGGAGTAAACCTGTCAGGGCCTGCTGCTCTCCCTCGTTTAAGATTTCCTATGGCTTTTTCAACTTCGTAAAGGGACGGAGGACCTACATTAACTTGCCATTCAGGTTGACTAGAGATCGTGGGAAATCGAAGTGTGACTGAAGGCCAGTTGAACTGACCCCTAAAGTGTTCTGCCCATCGATCCAATCTCCTGGATTGAGAATGTATAATATGTCCATCTTTCTCTGAGAGTGTTTCGCTAACAGTCGGTTTCCTAATACCGGTTTCATTGACAAGTCTGAACAATTGTCTGCTATTACCTATTGCCGCTGCCTTTTCCATCTCTCTTGCTTTCGCTACCCACCACTGTTCGCGATCATTGCGCAGGTTTCTTATCAGCCTGTGCTTAAGCTGATTACGCTCTTCGTCATGTTCAAAGCCAGATGGGATGAGTTTTCTAGCATCTATCAGTGTGATAGGTGCTGCTGAGATCCAGTGTTACTCCCTAAGCTTACGGTTTACCGTACTAGTAGATATCACTGCTGTTTCCACAGCTTTTCGGATATCATTCCATGCTGCCTCAGGGTGGGCATCACATACATGGCTGCCTAACTGTTTTCCTAGTTGTTCCTAAAATGTACTCTTAGCTTGACTATCATTAAGTAGGCCCCTAAGAGGTTTCCTTGCAGCGTCTTTTCTACGTCCAGTAAGACGCAGGCAAATGCGCGCTCGTACTAGAGCATGATCTGAATGTAAGCATGTGCCTTTCGAACTTCAGCTAGGGTCGGGAGACCTATTTCAATGCTCCATTCACACTGTCTGGGAATGGTGGGTAGTTGTAGAGTAGCTGAAGGCCAGCTGAACTGCTCCTGAAGGTGTTCCACCCATTGTTCAAAACCGAGCAACAATGAGTTCATACACCATGTGCTCTCTCAGGAATCTGGAACCCATGTGTACCATTGGTTTGGAATCAGGATTTTCCAACTCCCCTAGATGAACCCTCCCTGTCCATCAACCTGATTAAAGCGCTGGACATTTGTTTTTCTCACTCTCTCGCAGAGGCGGTGTTGTTTACGAAGTCAAGAGTGAGAAAAGCAAATGCCCGACGCTCTAATCGGGTTGATGGACAGGGAGGGTTCATCTAGGGGAGTTGGAAAATCCTGATTCCAAACCAATGGTACATATGGGTTCCAGATTCCTGAAAGCACATGGCGTATGAACTCATTGTTGCACTACTACCTTGTGGATTAGACCTTCAGGTCAAAGGCTCGAGGTGTGGCCCCTTAAGAAAACCACCTACTTTGGTTTGGGCACCCGAGCAGTATCACATCCCTCACACAAATCAATAACTACTACTGGCGTATATGATGCCCCTTCGTACCAATATTTTTGTGTTCAAATGATAAACAAATGAATAAATCATATACAACACTAGATAATTCATTTACACAAATGTAATCAGTTAGCTAAACGTTGTTAGCGATTTGGAAGTCGGAGCGAAATTTCCTTTCAAATGCTATATAGAGACATTACTCTTTAGGTGTTGGGGTGTAGGATGTTTTAACCATTCGTTCAAGTTTAGGAATACTGAAATTAGAAGCAAAATTCTTCAAATTATACCTCCTTTATTTCAAATTACTTTTAGATAATCAGCCCATAACGACTAAAAGTGGCTTAAACCCAACGAATATCCAGATATCAAGTCAGATAAAACTTTTCCTACATAGCCTAGGTGACTATGTTTTACTGACTCTTCAGATAGAAAGAAATGAATATTGTCAATGACCATTGTAAAATACTGACCGACAGGATATTTAATACCATCTCCATAGTAAGACATCATAATCTGGGTATAGTCTCTCTCAAACGCGGACTGTTTCTTACCAAGCTTTTTTAGAGTAATCATGGCTATGTCAATATGCAAAAAGAGAATACTCAACTTTAGACATCAATAGGAATAAAATTAGAAACAAACCTGGACAATTTCACAATGAATAAGGTCTGAGACCTTTTCGCTGGAGTAATTACGAGAAGTGAGACGGGGATAGAGAACGGTGTTGTCCGTTCGCAACACAAACACGGCATCAAACCATCGTTCGGGAAAGAATTCACAGGAATGATAGTCAACAATCTACAAGGGAGTAAATGTGATAAAAAACAGCCACACCTGACCACCCGATGACATAGCATCTTCTAATTCATCCAGGATTCTGTCTTCATCCAGGATATGACACTGATTAGCTTCATCATATCCATCATATAGTTCTTCTTCCTTGGCAACGTCATTGATGCTGATATAATTAAGTGAACTACGTCTAGATACTTCTTTAGAGATAGTTGTTTTACCGGTGCCAGGTGTGCCCGTTATTAGAATGTTTGGTAAAGTTGCAGTGGACATTTTATAGATAAAAATGTAGAATGTACTATTAAAGAAGGTCCAAACGTGTTCGAAGAAGATTCTCTTGATCGGACAGACGGTCAATGATACAAGTAAGCTGAATGACCTTATTAGATGTTGAAGATATAACAGAATCCTGATTGATGGTGTGGCTGATAGCGGAAGACAGAAGTTCAGAAGAATGTGAAGTTTTTATAATATTTTGAATAAGATTTTGTATAGCTGAGACTGTTTTTAGAGTTTTGTTTTGTAGTTGAGAAGCGGCTTTTTCGTTCCAATTGCTTTTGTTGGACATCAAATTTACTCAGTTCATAAAAATGAGCCTCATATAACTGGGAAACAAAGTTACACCAAACTATAACATGAATTAAAGAACAGTAAACTGTCAGTAGTTTCAAGTTTCTTTAAATGTATCACCATGAAACGTTCATCTTATAGTGAAATCAAAGCCTACTACTTATTTACTAACGTTCATAAGGGATTTTTAAAAAGTATACTATATATTACTATGACTAGTGATCGTTAACCAAAGATAATTCGACAAAAATAAAACATGTGCATAGTAGAAATAGTTTTTGGAGACCAGTAATGGTTTTGGTTGACCCTAATTGTTAGCAACACTTACGGTTACCTGAACTGTTAATGATTGCAAGATGGAACTTATTGGTTGCTTACGGAAAGACCCGAAGAACAAATAGGGCTCGAATAATAACACCTCGGAGCCTAAGGAATATATACTTAAAGTTGGTCATATGCAGTTTTTCTGGTGGTAGTTGGAGGGCTTCATCTATTAATTGATATAATATTGTGATAGTTTGGAGTCAAAACAACGGGTCAGAAGCATTCATCCTTTAACTCGCTTTAAATCCCAACTTTCGAAATTACTTCACACTTTTTAATTAATAGAACCATTCACTCTTCCCGGATCATCTTCAGTCAGTCAGTCAGTCAGTCACAACGTAGAACTTCGTACGTACGTACATCAGTTCGAGTTGCCACACCACATTAGCACAGAGATGCAGTTGTCGATTCAAATCCCGTAGTGGTAGAGGTAATAAGAGTATAAGCAGTAATCGGGAAGATTAGGGTTTGGAGATGTTATTTAAAGAGTATAATACAGTGAAATAAATTTGGAAAGAGGAAAAAAGGGACATGAAGAATTCAGAAGATTAGAATTTGGGAGAACACAGAGAGTGGATGCACCTGCGCCATTGCAAACGATTTTGAGCCATGTCATTCAGGGTCTCTAACAATCGGTTGCTATCATCTCGTGGTCCCCAACCAAGTAGTCTACACCTACCAACATGACTCAGTTCACTTGTCAGTGACTTCATGGACTTGTGCCATAATTTGGTCTGACCACCCCTAGGTTTCTTCCAACCTACTCCTATACCACTGAACATAGCACGTCGAGGCAGTCGGTCGTTGGACATACGTAACACGTGTCCCAGCCATCTCAACTGATGAAGTTTCACTACTTCATCAATTGATTTGCTATCCTTACCCAGTACCCGTTTCCTAACAACTGTGTTACTTACTCGATGGTCCCAGGATATACGAGCAATGTTTCGAAGACACCTATGATCGAATACTAGTAGCCTACGTATATCCTCTACTCTTACCGGCCATCTTTCACTGCCATAAAGTAGGACGGAACGAACTGATGCGCAGTAAACACGTCCTTTGGTTGATAGACGGATATCTCGCCTACGCCATAAATGACGCAAGTTGGCAAAAGCTAGTCGAGCCTTCTGTATCCGTGCTGAGATTTCGTCACACACTAAACCACAAGGGCTGATGAGACTTCCAAGTAAAGTGAAGCGATCGACACGCTCAATTACTTCACTCCCTATCATTAGTTCCGGTGTCAATGCAACCCAATCCTGAAGCAACATTTAACATTTCGAGGGGGAGAATCGCATCCCGAACATGCTTGCATTGTTGCTTAGAGTGGTCAGAAGACTCTGCATTTTGTCAGCGTCTTCACCAAATAAAACTATGTCATCAGCATATTCTAAGTCAACAAGTGAACCTCCTGGTAGAAGTTCAACCCCTGGAAATCTAGACGGAGGACCTACATTAACTTGCCATTCAGGTTGACTAGAGATCGTGGGAAACCGAAGTGTGGCTGAAGGCCAGTTGAACTGACCCCTAAAGTGTTCTGCCCATCGATCCAATCTCCTGGATTGAGAATGTATAATATGTCCATCTTTCTCTGAGATTGTTTCGCTAACGGTCGGGTTCCTAATTCCGGTTTCCTTAACGAGTCTGAACAATTGTCTGCTATTACCTATTGCCGCTGCCTTTTCCATCTCTCTTGCTTTCGCTACCCACCACTGTTCGCGATCATTGCGTAGACTTTTTGTCAGCTTGCGCTTAAGCTGACTCCGATCTTCATTATGTTCAGAGCCAGGTGGAATGAGTTTCCGAGCATCTATCAGTGCGATAGATGCTGCTGAGGTCCAGTGTTGCTCCCTAACCTTCTGGTTTACCTTACTAGCAGATATCACTGCTGTTTCCACAGCTTTTCGGATATCATTCCATGCTGCCTCAGGGTGGGCATCACATACATGGCTGCCTAACTGTTTTCCTAGTTGTTCCTGAAATATCAGTCAGTCAGTCAGCTACAACGTAGGATCAGGCACATATGTGCATCGGTCCAGGTTGCCATACCTCATTAGCACAGCAAGATGAACAGCGGATTCATAGGAGTGGTTAGGTCAAAGGTTGCAATAAGGATATAGTATAGGAAGAAAGAATTAGTTCGTAGACAGAAAGAATGAAGTGATTTTAATCTTTTAGTTTAAGGGAAGACAGGAAGTGTATACACCGACGCCATTGTGATCGATTCTGAGCCATGTCACCAAGAGTCTCCAACCATTGGTTACGAAAGTCACGCGGACCCCAACCAAGTAGTCTGCATCTACCAACATGGCTCAGACTAGAAGTTAGTGACTTCAGGCACTGATGCCACGTTTTGGTTTGGCCGCCCCTAACTTTCTTCCAACCATCCCCTACCCCGGTTAGCATTGCACGTCGTGGTAATCGGTGTTCAGGCATACGTAATACGTGGCCCAACCATCTCAGTCGATGAAGATTCATAACCTCATCAACTGATTTACCATCATTCCCTAATACCCTGCGTCTAACCTCACTATTACTTACCCGGTGATCCCAGCAGATGCCAGCAATATTTCTAAGGCATCTGTGGTCAAATACTAGTAGCTTACGGGTGTCTTCTACTCTTAAGGGCCATGTTTCGCTGCCGTAAATTAAAACAGAACGAACTGCCGCGCAGTATACTCGTCCTTTTATTGATAGATAGATATCTCGGCTTCGCCAAAGGTGACGTAAGTTGGCAAAAGCCAAACGAGTTTTTCGAATCCGTGCTGAGATTTCGTCAGACACCAACCCATTAGGGCTGATCAAACTTCCAAGATAAGTGAAGTTGTCAACGCGTTCAACTACTTCACTCCCTATCCTTAGTTCAGGTGTTGACCCAGACCAGTCCTGAAGCAACAACTTGCATTTAGAGGGAGAGAAGCTCATCCCAAACATTCTGACATTGTTGCTTAGTGCTACCAGAAGACTCTGCATTTTGTCAGCGTCTTCACCAAACAGGACTATGTCATCTGCGTATTCTAAGTCGATAAGTGGACCTCCTGGAAGGAGATCAATACCCGAGAATTCAGTCGACGAGAGTGTTATTTCCACCAATAGGTCTATGATGAAGTTAAACAAAAATGGAGAAAGTGGACAGCCTTGACGGACACCACTTGAGGTTGCAAAAGTAGATGACAGTTCGCCATAAGCTCTGACTCGACTAGTAGTGTTCGAGTAAAGAGCCTTCACAAGGTTTATGTACTTCTGAGGTACGCCTTTCAATGACAGACACTGCCACAGAATCTCGCGGTCTACCGAGTCAAATGCTGCTTTTAAGTCAAGAAATACCACCATCGTCGGACGCCGATAGGTATGCCTGTGTTCTAGAACCTGACGAATGGTGAATATATGGTCGATGCAGCCACGACCAGGTCTGAAGCCAGCTTGGTTCTCTCGAGTTTGTAGTTCACGAGTCTTAGTTAGGCGTTTGATAATTATCGAGGCCAGTATTTTAGATACTATATTTGTTAAACTAATCCCTCTATGGTTGTCACAGGATGATTTTGACCCTTTCTTATATATTGGGACGATAAGTGATTGCGACCAGTCAGATGGGATAAAGTCTAATTCCCATATCTTAGCTAAAATATTAGTCAACTTAATCGCTAAAATTGGACCACCATCCTTAAAGACCTCTGGAGCCAGTCCATCTGGACCAGCTGCCCTTCCTCGTTTCAGATTAACTATAGCCTTTTGAACTTCAGCAAGAGTCGGGGGACCTACTTCAATGTTCCATTCACACTGTCTGGGAATGGAGGGTAGTTGTAGAGTTGCTGAAGGCCAGCTGAACTGTTCCCTAAAGTGTTCCGCCCATCGTTCTAAACGCCTGGACTTGGAGCAGATGAGTGTATCGTCTTTTTTCGATATAATCTCACTTACACTTGACTTATTAATTCCAGTTTCTTTTATTAGTCTGTAAAGCTGTCTTGTGTTCCCTATAGTCGCCGCCTTTTCCATCTCTTTTGCTTTCGTTGCCCACCACTGCTCACTGTCGTTTCTTAGGCTTTTTCTTAACCTAGATCTGATTTGTTTTCGCTCTTCATCATGTTCAGAACCTGATGGGACGAGTTTGCGAGAATTCATCAGTGTGACAGACCTTGAAGAAATCCATTGGTTCCTTGCAACTCTGTGGTTTAAGTCACTAATAGATGTCACTGCTGTTTCCACAGCTGATTGTATGCCCTTCCAAGCAACATCTGGGTCAGCCTCGTCTTCACAACTACCTAAGTGTGACCTCAGTTGTTCCTGGAACCTACTTTTGGTTTTCTCGTTACTCAACTCAGTTCTAACGGGTCTTTTTAATGTGGCTTTTTTGCGTCCAGTGAGGCGCAAGCAGATGCGTGCCCGTATTAGGGCATGGTCGGAGTCCAAGCAGGTACTCCAGAATGAGCGACAATCTTCTACCGACCCTCTCCAACGATGACTGATGGCAATATGGTCTATTTGAGTCCATCGTTGGTTTGGTGCAGGCGGTCGCCACGTTAGACGATGTCTCTCCTTATGCTTAAAATTTGTGTTTGCTAAAAATAAACGATTGTCTGAGCACAGTTGCAGCAGACGATCACCATTATCTGTTCGCTGTGTCGGAATACTAAAATATCCACCTAAATGCCTTTCTGTTTGGTTTAAACTGCCTATCTGAGCATTAAAATCACCTGCTACGAGTACTATGTCTGAGCGTTTAGCTTTCTGAAGAAGTTCGGACAGCTTTCTGTAAAATTCATCTTTCACATCATCTGAGCTGCAGTCAGTGGGAGCGTAGGCAGAAACGACAAAAAGGCAACGACGTGTGTCCCTATCCTTCCGAGTTCTTACGTAGCCGTTCAGCCGAACAGCACATAGACGACTGTTGACGGGGATCCACTCTAGCAGTGCTTGTTCGGCCCTCATGCTTAGTGCTATGCCTACACCTGCCAGTCCACGAGAACTTGCCATCGGGTCACCAGATACACGAAGGGTGTACCTCGTTGGCTCTCCGTTTTGCCGAGGTGAGGTCAAGTGAATGACCACACTGGAATCCTGTATGCGTGTTTCGGAGACACAGCACACGTCAATGGTAAGAGACTCTAGGGTTTTAGCCAAGGAAGCCTGCTGACCGATTTGACATAGGGTTCGTACATTGAAGGCTCCAATGTGTAGTTTGGAGCGAGGTTTCAGTAGACCTGGGACAGTATTTTGCGCACTAGAATCGTTGGCTATGGTGACACTTGAGGTGGAAGCCGAGAGAGGAAATTTAGAGTTGAAAGTCGATGTAGGAGGAATAATAGGAATTGAAGAGGAAGGTTGATTATGAATACAGTGGTCTTGAGTGCTGTTAGAGGTATGAGGGCGGTTTTCACTTCCCGGTTGCCCACACCGTGGAAGGGTTCTTCTGGAGGTACCTGAAAAGGAATTTGGATTAAAGGTGGTCTTAGTGACCTGAGAGCGTGACCGCAGTGCCCAAGGGACAACTGCTTGAGGTCGGTCACACACGACCTTGTTATGGGTAATTTTTGTGTTAGCTCCGTACTTATTGAGACCTTACCGCCGGAGACGGATATCCGTGGGATAAGGCGAGGTGTGCATTTTTAGGGTCGACCTTTTCTAACCCCACCCCTCCTTGTCGGAAGGCAGCATCGCTGTCATGCTGGTTGTCTGAAGGAAACACCTTACTGCTGTCACACCTCTGTACAGTCAGCAGTACGACTTCGCCTTCGGACCTTGGGTTTGTTGCTTTTAGTCTTACCGCTCTTCAACCGACCTGTCTGACATGGTAGGACCTTGAGGAACGGTTGTTCCAGCCAGTATAGCTCGGTTGCTTCATCACGATAGGCAAGCCCGACCACCACGTCAAGGTAGCAACAACGGTCGGGCCCGGATCATCTTTTCTACTACCAATCATACAACTATTTTTACTACTTTGGTACGCATTCTGATAATTGAACCTCGATGATTTGGTGCGGCGTTGGGCCGACGTACATAGTGCCAAGTTATATTTATAACCAACTGATTAACTACTGACTACGACTACACATACAACTTCCCTTAAAAAAATCATTGCACAATTGCTTTGGCTTAGGTGTGGCACGCAATATTTGCGTTAAGAATTACGAAAATGAAATGATCACCGTAATCTGAGTTAAATGATCATCAGAGAACACAACACCCTCGAAGTCCTAAATGAGCTTAAAGCAAATCAATAAGATCAGTGAAATTGATCCCAGGCTACAGAAGGGCCTTGAACTTTTCATTGTAAAACCATGAGTTATGCTTTCAACTTGTCTGCTCACCGGAAAAGACTAAAATGCGACTGAAGAAACGTTATGTTAAAACCTATCTTTGAAGCAGCAATAAGCATGGTCCTGAAAACTGCCGTTTTGTAAGTTTAACTACGAAACTGTCGATATTTTGGAGGTATTCATAAAACGTTGTTCAAGTATATACATGGAAACCCGATACATTTTGGGAACCTGTATAGTCTAAAGACAGAATACTCATGACTTACCAGTATTCTGGTGGCTCGGTGCAGTTAGTAATCTACGAGACCATATAATATAGAAGTTTTTATTAATTTTAGCAAGATCCTCATCAGTCTTACATACCTGACTTCTGTCTAAGTTATGTGACGTACGGATCAATGACAATCTACTTCTGTGGATAAATAATCTTCTAGTTGAACTCCCATAGAGAGAACGGACTAATTTCAATATATCTAATAAGAGGTTATCGGTAGAGCTTCCCAGGTCAGTCAGTCATTAAAATACGCTCTGGTAAGAATGTAAAATCGATCCAAACTGTCAGACACATATCACAACAACAAGAGGAGACTTGTACTATGCGAAGTAAAAGAAAGGAGTCCTTTACGACTCAGATAGAGGAAATGGGGGAATGAATAATTGGGGAAGATATGACTAACACAGCTGTGTCAATTAAAACTGTTTAGTGTTCAGTATTGGGGATAGTGCGATTTCTAACAATTAGAACTGGGATATGTGAATACATATAAGTATATTCAGTCAGGGGCCAGGAACCAAGCTGTGACGTGTTGAGACATTTTTTACAAACCGTGTTATCACTTACGAGAACTCACACAGTGCTTTGATGAAACAGTAAACTCAGTGAATGCTTTTGAAACTAGAATTCATCTTCTGAGAACATGGAATTGATCTCTTGCACTGACAGACAGCTAGCCTTTCTTTTCATAACTTAATGGTGATGACCCATGGATATCAAGTTAATGCAACGCATGCTTGGGATGTACATTGATTAATATTCACTTATATTACCAAACTTAATCGGTGCGATCTTTTCGAAAATCAATGTTGCCATCTGATAACAGTTTTTTGCTAGATTTAGCATTTTATCATTAAGTGGCCAGAAATACCGCTTTTGGTTTTATTATGGCGGCTCATGAGTCATACAATAAATTCAAATTCCATGATTTTAGGGTCTTCCAAAAAGTCCAATAACAGTTTGCAGTTTTCCCCGAAATTGGGAGATTAGGAATCAACCCAATTTGACCAGTTTTGGGGAAGCCGCTGTAGAAACTTTTGGGGAAATGGCACCAAGACCAATTTTGGGTTTTTCCCCAACATGGAAGACTGGGTTGATTACAGAATGATATATCACTTTACGTTTCTGGTCTTAACAGCCTTCAATAAATTTGCAACTGGTGATAGGGTATTTCTGTCAACCATCATAACTTCCCAGACTTATTGCTGAACATAATGTACACCTAGATGTTTGCGAAGTTGATGTCTGATCATGAGATACAGATTGGCAGCAGCTCAAATATAAATACTTCTATGTTACAAGGAATGAGAATGAAGCCATACAAAAGTAAACGGCTTGGTAAGAAATAAAACATCACCAAAAAGGAATTACGACAAACGACTTACTATGCGAAATAACGTGGGATACAGTAACGAGAAATGTAAACTACCGCCAAATTCTTCATCGTCAGGTATCGGGGAAGAAGTGTCTTTTATTTATTCACAGAGCTTTTAGTGTCCTGATGGTGCAGTTTATTTCCGGATTTATTAACATCTTCTGATTAAATGTTTTTCTTTTACGTACCCAAAAGTTTACAGCTCATTGCAGAAGTAGACTTTTAGGACCTTATGGATATGTTCTCTCAAAATATCAGAATTAGGCAGAGGAAATATGGGAAATTTGGGCGGCTGTTAACTACATTGGAATATATATATATATAACTGTTCACAATTTTTTCAATGTTGTACCACCCAGCGGATTCATGCGTCAATGTTGTAGCGGCAAATAAATAGTTCTGAGGCCTTCCACATTGGTACTGACCTCATTGGTTCTACTGAAAACACCCTAGATGAAGGCGATCGGTCAGGCATTGGCACCAAATTATGAGTGGGTTTGCCGTGCTACGTGTCCCTTGCAACTACTAGGCAGCTTAGATCAAATACTTTTCAACACATCAATGACCTTCCGAATATATCTTTGAACCCATCTATTTTTGACCTGTAACATAACTGGGCTGGTATCCTTTGATTATGAAGGTATTACGGACAAAGGTGTTGTGAAACCTCAAACATGTGTGGCATTTTTAATGAATGGTCCTCCACAATTTTTACAATCTCCGTAAACCGTAATAGAGAGAGGTCTTCAATGCTGAATATTCTTCTGCTGACCTACGGAATTTTTTGAGATATTTAGGGGTTTAATTTGATTATACTTTATCATTTGTGTTTTACCCATCTTAGGGATATGGTTATAGGCTTTTACGTGCTATTTGTACGAACTAATGATTACTTTGTACTGTAGGTCCAGCGAAATGTCACTAAGCCCTAGCCAAATCATTCGGCAGTTGGGTCATTGAATATCGAGCAAGGTCAGGGGCAAACAACGTGTATCAGTTAACTGTATGCCATGGACTGGCCCATGCGGCAGTGGTCTCACTTTCACTTGTATCTACTTTAACTAATATATTTCTATATTAACGTCCTCTGTGTTGTACAGTCTTCAAAGCATCTATGGTACGTTGATACATCAATGGGGTAGTTCACGTAAAGCGCTGACCACGAGGTGTGACTTCGACGTTAGCTAGTTTGTCACACCATTCACATCTAACTCTAGTAGGCCTCCACTAATTTCGACATAGATCATCTACGTTGGTGATCTACAGTACCTAATTTCCCTCTGATTACGAATTCAAAGTATAATACGTTCATCTGTGCTTATCTAACTCTACCTGCCTTAAATTGCGTTACCTCGGGGATTTTTAGGTAGTACATAAATTTAAATGTTTCTGACCACCATTCTGGCATTGCGATGGAGTTAAATATTTGGCAGTTGCATTTTGATTCCATTGTGGATGACTCTGAAGACTACATGAAAATGTTCGAATTCTGATACATGACTAGAAAAGACGTTAAGTATGATGAATTCACAGCTTATTTCCTGACGTTCATTGGCAAGGAACCATATGACCTTGTGGAGATAGGCCTGACAACCTTATTTTGTAAATAGCTTTCAATGTTATTTGTATTTATTTTGTCAACCTTCCACTGTATGTATATTTAACATTAAATGACTGTAACTGTTGGTTTAGTAAATGATCTTCAACACACTTTCCGTTGTGATTCTAACATAGCGTGACATATTCTTGCTGGCTAATAAATACATTACTACTCACACGTCCCTCGTTCTATTTTCGTTTGTGATTGAGTTAGCTGAAGTCTAAATCAAATATTATCATTATTTATAGACTGTAATTGGAACATATCACATTCTACGTGGGATTATATCACTAGAGAGTTCGCCAACCTGCTCAGAATCACCAATTATTTATAATTGTGAATTTATATTACCGGACCCAATCAGAACACGCAACGTTTGGTCAATTTAAGTAACGTCCCGAATTTTTATTGTATTTGTAACAATTAACTGTATATATTATTATTACTATTGATCTTTCGTAACTATGTTTATACTTTTCGCGTTCATATCTATCTGGTCCACCACAACCTGATAAAGTATTTGCTTAGTCATACGCAGTGTGATAGTTTTGAATGCAGAAATCTAAATTTCATGAAATGTTGCGACAAAACAATCAGAAATTCAAACTTTATGCTCGAACTACAGAAATAGGCCGACAAGCGCAATTTCGGAGACCAATTGGAAACCTAACTTAGTGATCATATGGCTGCTGGGGCAAATATTCCTAATTTAGAAAAATAATTGATTCAGAAACCCAAAAGTTCATTTCAAGAAATTAGAACAACATGTATGAACTATGAGGCGGTGAATGAGTTTGATTTATAGTTGATGGAAATTTCTAATACTTTGCCCAGTCATTGTGATGAACTACATTCACGATGTCGCTCAAACTCACGTTCGTTTAATAATGTCTGCCGTTTTCATGGAAATATGGTCAGTCGTTCAACAAAGATTTGTAAAGAATGTTACAGAGGTAAGCACAGTTTTGGTAAATGTTTATACTGTGGTAAATTTCACTTGTTTGATTTATGTACCTTTCATTGTGCTAAGTGCTTTAAGTGTGGTCAAATGGGATACATTCGGTTGGTTCTTTTCTACCCAAGCGGTACTAAAGTTCTTAGTTCAGATCTTAATAATTTGTGTGATTCCATATCGTAAAGACCGAACTGCCAGTATTCGGTTTGAACGCAGGAGTGACGAACCAAAATGTATTCGAATAGGTCAGACTACGTTCTTCTATATACCTTACAAAGCGTTTTTGAGACACTCCTATTAAATTATATCAAAACACAAATTCTGTGCTCAATTTAAACAGTTCTAATTTAGGAAATAGAACATATTATGTCAAAAATACAAAATACCTCAAACGGTACAGTCTGTGCTATGCAGTCACAAGTTTCTTTAACACAAAGTAGCGTGCTTGGCAACAAAGGAAACAGTTAATACAAAAGAGTTCAATACCTGAGAATCAATAAAAATATTTCCAACAAGATGGGATCAGATATCTATCTGCAGGGATTCCAGCAATCTTCCCAAGCAGACCGTCAAAAGTTAACAGTCACACACTGAACCACACCGTGACGTTGAGGCTAGCCAAACGCGACCTTATTATCAATGATCCGGCAAAACGCAATAGAAAATTAGGAAACAAAATGACGCAATAAAGGCTCAGACGAGGAAGACTGGAGAACAAAAGGTGTGGCTAAACGAGATCTGAACAAAGGTTAAAATACACGACGGGTAGAAGAAACAAGTAAATGAAAGTACTGTTCAACTAAAAAGCTGCGGAGAGATTTTCATCGTTCTCCTTCCGTTACACATATATTATCCTTATTTACAACTTCGTCACGTTACAAGAACCTGAATGAGACCGTTACATTTTCCGTTGTTAGTTTTAATACCAATCAGCATATTCTGGATCATGCAGAATCTATACCCAATACTTAGCTGGTCGGACACATTATGAACCTACAGAGAAGACGTACAGTCGATGACAGAAATCTGGATTTTCATCTAAGTTGTGGCGTTCGTGGCATTTGTACGAACGGATGATTCATTTGTACCTGATTACGTGCTGATTGCGAATTCCAGATATACTACGTCTATTTGTGCACATCTAGTTCTGTCTGCCCTAAATGGTACTGTTTCGGAAATTCTTAGATGGTCTAATAATTTGAATACTTCTAATTATCATATTTTATCAAGTTTTGGAAATAAGATCATACCTTTCATTGCAGTTTTCATGTAGTGAATGTAAAGTAAACGGTAGCGATCCTAAGTGGCTCTTTGATTAAGCCACTCATAATCGCTGAAGGAAGCTAACCAACATAGTCTTTCCTAAGAAAATAATAAAGACAAATAGAATCTTACCGAAGGGATAATATGTTTAACATGAAGACTAAAGAGGTGCGTGTGTTTCCCCACCTGAATGGTCGAATCATATTGTCTTGATGGTGTTCTCTTACTGATCCTAATTCACCACTATTTTTCATTTTTCATTTAATCTCCAGTCCCAAATCTTCTAAGGTGAAGTACACTTAGTACATTCCTGTGTCTTTAAATTGATACCTAAATATAGTCAACGATTGTTTGATCCAATGCCAAATAAAGTAAAGTCACTTTAGTGCGTAGGTCACCAGGATATTGATGAAAGATGTCTGAGTATTGATAAAATGATAGGGAAATCTAAATGGGGTAGCACCATTTGATTGGAAAACAACCCTAAAAAATCTCCAAACGTTTAGATTCACTGTCAGTCTGCTCCAAGTGATAATCAACATACAGGTTATTTGAGAGCCGAGTGAACCATGATTGTGATAGTAGGGAATAGTCTAGCACATAAATATTTTGAAAAGTCCCAATCAAACACAAAATACGAACAGGTGGTTAGCAGTTCAATCCATGGATAGCGAAATTGCTTTTTTCATAAACTGATAACACCCAAGTGGCGAAACTAATGATTTGACATCAGTATCAATGGTTTAACATAAAACCCGCTTTATGTTGTTGGTAACGTTTTGTCCGCATGTTCTGATCCCCAGCTGCATCTCTATTTGTGTACTAACTGAAGAGATAGAAACACAGCTGCGGTGTGAAAGAATTCTAACTATCTTTCCACTTGATTCATTAAGTTTGAAACACTTTACCTGGTCACGGGTAAATTTTTATTGGCACTGGACCACAATCCTCAATGCTGAACACAAGACTACTCGGAAAATAGATATTCAATAGTTAACGCGGAGAAAGACCTAACAATGGAGAAGGCGGGAACAAGACGTTGAATGAATTAGGGTTGATCGGTTGGCATGGATCGACTTTGCAGGCGTGGTCCCTACAGAATGTTTCCTTACACCTTTTGTTCGTATTAAACATATTGTTTTATCTCTAGCCCAAGCTTGTTCTCCATCATGTATTGGTAATTGTTACGATACAGTGGGTTGGTGTAGACGATGATGTGACTTCCACGTAAGATTTTATAGATTAAGCAGTTATACC